ATCGAAAAGGTGTGTGTGTGTGGGGGGAATCGGAAACACTAAACTCCGCCTCCATTTCCTTTCACAGGGATTGCAGCATAGTTGTGTTTGCATGGAGCACCAGTGGCACCTAGTGACCGCACCTAGGAGATCACCACGAATTGAGATGAACGCAGAAAGACACGGTGCGGACTGAGGCCGGGGTACATCACTGACCTGCTGGTAGCGATGGTTGCAAACCTGATCCAACCTCCAGTGGTCAGCGTTATTGTATCTTCGTGGTCAGATGGTTTAGCACGTTTAGGAAAGATGTTATCATGTCCTGCAAACTGCAACACCAACCCTCTGTCCATCACACCAGCCCAGAGGTTCAGTAGCGCTGTGGGACTGCTTGCCTCTCGCACAATGGCAGAAGAAGCATCTCTTTGGCATGAGTGGAACAAACATTTTTCAGTATGGATGGAAACCAGTGACTCAGTGCAGGCTAGCAGGGGTGAGGACCATGTCAGGCCACACCAAGTCATCTGTCCCTCTGCCAAGCGGACAATAGTCCTCCTGTTCCCTCTGGAGAAAGGCCTCTTCTCTAAGAGCACTGCGGGCCAGACAGTGAGCAGTATTGTTGCAGCTGGGTGAAAAGTTTATTAGTGCAGGGGAAACAGTATAAAAAATTATCATACATAGAAATCTAGAGTTCAAAAGGGCGTGATGTCTAATACAACTGTCTGGTAGTGTGAGAACAAGCAGAAGATGATCAGCTTCACAGCTGTATTTTGATGCAGATAAAACAGACCATTGGTACAGAGCAATAGACCTACATCAGTTAAGAAAAAAAAAATCCAGTTTCATGAAAAGATGTCATTAGGAGAGTAAGGAAAGCTGCAATTTTAAGTCCCAGTTGTGAAACAATTGTAAGATTTCTGACACCACATTTGGTGTCCGGAACTACAAGTTCACACCTTGTAAGGCTTCACTCAGCTCTCCTCTCCCTGAGCACACATGACCAATTGCAGGTGAGCTGTAAAGCACTGGCCTCTCAATGTGTTAACATTGGACTCCTATACCAATGCTGGATGGTCACTAGACCTCATCTACTTTTCTTCAGAATAAACTTGCTTCTATCTTGCTGGCCAAACCCTTTCCCTTCACAGGTGTCCTTGTGCATTGAGTGGCTCCTGCCCTGAACTCTCGGCTGGTGTTCATACCTCTGTGTCATCTGGAGAAGCCAGCAGAGTCATTCGGAAGGGAAAGCAAGGTATGTGCACACATGCAGTGGAGGAGTCATTATGGGCAGTGAGCGCTGGGAGCAGAGCAATACCACTGGGTGTGTCCAAATAGAGTTGAAAAACTGACCAGTAACTACTGCCTGAGCATCCTTCATCACTGCATGAGCTGTGTGGTAGACCCAAGTTTTCAGCCATATCTGACTCTCTGAGGGCCTGTGAGGTTCTCCAGCCTGTTCCCACCTCCTGCCCCTTCAGAGGATCCCTCCAGGCCAGGCCTGTGGCTTTCCCCTAGCACGGGGAGGCCGGTGAGCTGGGAAGGCAGGAACCACTGTGGGGCTCAGAGTGCAAGCAGAGCCCGCAGAGGCAAACCAGCACACAGCAGGAATCACAGCAACAGCTACTGTTTCAGGCTTACATTTTCTGGTGTTTATTATTCTTTCCATTCCTGGTCATGTCTCCATTATTATTATTCTTTTCATGTGAAGGAGAAAACGCTGCTACTAAACCACTGTTTGTGGTCCCTGCTGTGCATGCAGCTGCCCAGATCAGCACGCCACTGGTTTGCTGTGGATGAGCCACTGGGCTGGCTATCTACCTCACCTCTGTGTGATGTGCACAACCCAAACAAAATTATATGATTCCCCCAAGGGAAGGCTGTCTCTGGATGCACTGTGTTCCTACAGGACTCTTTCTTAGGCATTTCCACCCATTAGTGGTCAGAGAAAAGATGCCGGGCTAAGTCAACCAGCATAGCTATCCTTATCTTCTTGAAAACTCTCATCAAACACACAGTCAATGAACACAAGCAAGGGTTGGGAGTTCAGAAAGCAAAAGCACAAGCCAAACATAGAGAGGAACAGCTGCAAAAACTATTGAGTGATGTAATGCAGAAAGCACCCCTGTCTCTCCTGCTCCAGTATTCAAAAAATGAGGCACTCCTCACAAAATTTTCCTGTCATGAACAATTATAAAATATAAAAAGACTAACACCTGATAATGAAAAACTGTACACACCCTTGAGAGAAGGACAGAGCAAGCAACATATCATGTAGCAGCCCTTTCTCCCAGACTGGTAGGGCTGCTGCTAACAAATCAGATGCAGAGGATTAAATCCCAAACACTAGTGTGGGTTGAGTAGTGAGTAAGTACATCCACCAGATCCCATGGCAGCTGGTGCAAGCCATGCTCTGAGCACACACAAGCTTGCAAAGCCTTTGGGCTGAGCCAGCAAGCTGGCTCTGCATTGCGGAGCTCCAGATAGCGCACCGAGTTTGGCTGGGGGTGCATGGCTGCATCCATCCAGCAATGGCCTGGCACACCTGCCAGTTAGCATCACTTACTAGCCCAGTTTTGGGGCAGTGTCATCACAGCTACACACTCCTTGCAGAGCTGGCTCAGAGCACAGGCCAAGAGAAGTCAGGTGTGCCAACAACGACAGCACGTTTTACACCATCTGGGATTCGAGCATTCATTCCCTTTCCAATGGCTCACTGTATGAACCGAGCCACAGTGAACTGCATCTGAAGGCTCTTTGCTGGCATCTCCCTCCTCCTGGGGCAGGCTGGGAACAACTACTAGGCTACCAAGTGGTTGGGCAACATCACAGGGTGTGGCTGCCTGCTGGCATCAGGCAAGTTCATGATTACTTTGAACACATGAAGGATGGTCAGGGAGTTGCACATCATGGATCCAATCCTTTGATTTGTTGTTTATAAACAACCAACCTCAAAAGCAGCACAGGCATTGAGGCATTTGCTTTCCATCAAGATTTCTTGCACCTTTTGCCTGGATGCATTGCTCCTTCTCTCCTCCCAACCTCTCCATCCACATGCATCGCCTCCTACGCCACCACGACTCCTGCCTGCTCATTTGTGGTAAGCCAGTGTGGTTTGATAGTTTTATCAGAAAAGACTTAGAAACATTTGTGGTTCTTTTTAAAACTGTGGTGAGCCAGTAAGTGCTGTATGCTGCTTGTAGGATGAAGCAGAGCTGAAACGGCACCCTGCAGGCTGGGGGAGCCTGGGCCTGAGCATCGGCTAGCTTGGCATGGTCTTACCCTGCAAGCCACTTCTGTGTCCTAAATCTTGTTAAGTATTTCGTGGCAATCTAAGTCAACCTGTACAAGTCATGAAGGCTCTTCAGTGGGGAAGGGTGTGCAAAACATCTAAGTACCTCTACACGCATCTTTCCTGCAATGTGCTGGATCCACCCTTCCCACATACAACCCTCCCAGAGGAGTACACCTTCCCAAGGCTGCTGTCACCAACACAGAGGTGTCCAATCACAGCAGTTTCTGACTGCTTGAGAAAGCAGTCACCCGGCCGGTCCCTGCTGGCTGATGGCACACGTGGAGGTGCTCATCTGGGACAACTGCACATCTCAAATCACTTGCAGGGCTCCATGGCAACCCCCTGCCTTGAACAAATCTTCCGCCAACAAACAGCAAGTAAAACTGGAGCAAACAAAGCATTGACAAGGACAGGGATGCATTAGGATGAAGTTTTATCTCTCCATGCTTCATTGGAGCCAGTGTCAGATGATGACACTGGCTCCCTGCCACTCAGTCAGGTGTGGCTGCTGCCTGTGGACAGGCACCAGATAATTCATTGCAAGAAGTCAAGGAAAGCTACAGAACAGTGAAACCACCCACCTTATTTCTGTATGAACAATTTCACATGGTTTAAAATACATCTTGTGGAGGTTTGAAACATGTAAAGTCCTCTTGGATTTTGACCATGAACTTGTACCTGAATTAGACATCGGTGTAAAGGGCTGAATTTTATTTTTGCTTGAAGTAACATTTTGTTGCCTTTCTAGCAACCACTTATGTTCTTTTGAATGGATTCTGGCAGGATTTTTGTTAAATATATAAAATTATATTTTCCCTAGCTGCAGTTGAAATCAACTGTGCTGCCTGTAATTCTGAAAAAAAAATATTTCTACCATCTACCAATTTCACCCCCAAAGTGTAAGCAACTTGGAATAATTTCAGAGTATCTTTGGACCTGTTTCCACTTGGAATAATGTAAGTGTCCTCAAAACATAATCAAATGCCCATCCCTTGAGAGCTTCCATTTGATGACAGTGAAATACATTCTCAGAAATAAGTCAATCTGACCCTAATAATTTCTCAAAACCCCCCAAACCTTGAGTAGTTTAAAAAAACCTCAACAAACAGAACAGTCATTTAGTCGCATGGAAGAGAGTATTAGCACAAGGAGGCCTCAAGGAGAACAAAATGCAGATGTTTATGGACCAGAGACTCCCACCATCACACTTCCCAATGTCCTCAGTGCTGCAACACCACTCTTCCAAGCACAGATGCATCACAATACCTTGTTTGCTGAGGAGATTCTTTAGCAAAAAATAATCCAAAACTTCTCTGGAGTTTCCTGGATCTCTGGACCTTGTCTTAATGTTCCACCTCAGTACCAAGTGATGAAGTTGCTTTTGCTGTACATTCAACAGGCAGAATGCCCCTTGAGGTACTGAACAGCTAAAATGACGCATTCAATTTCCTCATCTAGCAGTACTTGAAGAAAATTTCCCGCAGCAAACATCATCAAAGTAACGCACTGAGTTGCTGTGGTTCCTTTGCCTCAATCCTAACTGTCCAAGTAAAATACAATACCCTCGGAGCACACTTGCCAGTTACTGATTAGGTCTGAATTGCTAGAATTAGTATTCTACTGGCATTTCTTTCCCCAGACCACTATCCACGCAAAGCTTGCTCATTTTACATTGCTTAATCACATCTGAATATGTTGAAAATTCACGCACGTACTTGCAAAATTTTAGCAGTTTTTGCAGAATGACAGTCCTTTTATTTTTACTGGTTCAGTATACAGCCACATGATACACTGAAGCTAAGAAAAACTGGGGAGAATGATTCACAATAAAATTCTGAGAAGTCCATTCCTTTCAAATCAAGGCAGAAACAATTCTCATACAGTCCATAATCAGTGACTAAATTCTACATTATTTTAAATTTACTTAGTGCTATAAATAATCATTGACACTACTACTATAATCTGAAAATAAGGCAGGGGCAGGACCTGATCTACGTCGGTTTTATATCTATAGTGTTCATACTTGTGTATTATTTTATATGCATACACTTGTATAAAACAACAACAAAATAAAACTGTCCCCACGACAATCAATAGGATATATTGTACAGCTTATAAGTTATGGTATACAGTAAAACTGGTATCACATCCTATAGGTTATGGGATACATTAATAAATAGACAACGATACATTAATTTGCAAATTTAACAAAATAATTTTAAAAGAGGAAGTAAAATACTCCATACAATGGGGCCAATTCATCATAAATACTTTTACTGCAGTTTAAAAATAATGACACTTTCAGGTTATGGGAAACCTGGAAGCAATAAGGTCATGAATCACAGTCAATACATACATTTCAGCAGAGGTGTAACATTTTAAGAGCAACCTGAATTTCTTGGAGTTTGCTCAATTTTCCAACCCTGAAGTTGAATTATCCACATTTAGTTTCTCTGCCTGCCTGTTTAACATATATAGAAGAAAAATGTACTTGTCTTAGGGTATTCACCAGCTTTGATTTTTGATTTGGAAGTAAACACTCAGCGCTTTGCCACTGTTCTTTCACACCAAATCAGAACCAAGCCATGGAAGCCCATGGCAGTCCCACAGGTCCATTCCACTTATAGAGCAGCCAGTATGTTGGATTTTAATGGTATGTGGCACCCTAAGTATCTAATCACTCTATAAATAGAATTTAAAACCCTAAACTACTTTGGAATTTGTATATATTTTACCTACTGCTAAGATGGCAAATATGATTTAATTACAAGTCTATAATTTAGATAATAGCTTTAAATCCATAATATTCACACAACTACATATACAGCTGTACCCAATTCCTAATTTTGAAGTGCTGCAACTCTTCAGCAGTAACAGAAAGGTATGTACGTACATATGTAACAGAAAAGGAGCAAACCAGTGTTGTGGATGGACTTCTGTCTGCTATTCTCATGCTCACTGACTATTCATATTAAACACTATCAGCAGAGGACTGCTGTGGGAAGAGAAACACAAAAAGCTGCTCAAGAATGTCTGAAGCCAGATGGCCTAGGAGGTAAGTGGTAATAATATCAGGCCCAAAGCGATATTTTCGCTTGCTGGGGCTGCTTGTGCTTCTGTTAGTCATGGCTTCTCCAGCTACTCACAGAGCATGACAAGGTCTAATGGGAAAGCTGCATAGCAGTCATATAAACTGTTATACGTGTCTGCTGCACCACATAATTTGCCCTTCAAGCTTTGAAAGGGACGGGAGGCAGCCATGGGGGGCTGAGGGGTTAAAGGCAGCCAGTGATTTTATGTCTGAGTTAGGTTTAAAGAAACTACATGCTTCACGCTGCAAATCAGTGTTTATTTTACCACAGAACCATCAGAATCAGCAAGAGGGTGCCAGAGAGCATCTTCACTAATCTATCCCATAACAACACGGGAGCACAGTTTTCAAAAACACATATTTATACATCTGGTAACCACTTCTGTCCCCATTAGTTAATTAAAGATTAGAAACATTTTGGGACACACATATACACGCACACATTTTTTTAGAAAAAAAATCAATACAAATTTTTTGTTGCTGTCAGGAAGTGCCAGGTAGTGTACATCATCGTTTCCTGGTCCCACTGTTGCCACTGGCAGACTTACTGAAACTTCTGCTCATTTGTGGGAAGTGTACAGTTGGTGTTCTTTCAGTGGGGCCATACAGCCCTAAATTCCTGGCTGTAGCTGACTTTCGAAGAGGCTTGACACAGGGAAAAGGATTGAAGACTTGCGGCTTTGGGTTCCCAGGCTGGGGAGATTTAGCCTGGTTTCCACTGTCACTGGATGAACTGGAGGACTCTGATAAATGTGGCTGGCCGGACTGACAGGATGTTGACTCAGCATCAGTTTTGTTATCTGAGGCGAGTTCCAGTGCTTCCAGTTTTAGCTGAACCACTGCCATGTTTGTACTGCTGTCCGTAGGGACTGGTTCAGATGACTGATGGTCAGCTTTCCGAGTAGTCCTGTCATCCAAACCACCTCCTTCTCTTTCTCCAAATGCAGAATGTTTGGACATCTCCTCCTTTGCACCAGGACTATTTGTTTTACAGCTCTCACTCTGCTCATCTATTAGTCCTATAGTGTCCCCATAGCCCAGCTGGCCTTTGGCCCTGGCAATATTCTTTCGATGAACTCGTATGTGAGTGCGCCATGGAGAATTCAGTTTTGTTTTAAGATCTTCTTGGGGAATGGGAGACATCTTCCCTGTAGCATGACTTGGGATGTGAATAACAGCATTTTTGAGAGACCTGTTATTCAATTTCATCTTCTTTCCTAAAAGGAGGTGGTTTATCACTGGGGAATGGTTTACCTGAGAAGGGAGGAGGCTGGTAACTGGCCCTTTGTCTGAAAGAAAGTGTTTAAAAGAAACACAGTATTGTTAAAGAACAAAACAAATTAATGTTCTAAGGATCCATCACCAAATTTGATGCCTTTCTTGAACTATAGCAAAGGTTTGTTGGAAAAAAAAAAAGAAAAAAGGTGTAAGAAAAAAAAAATCACGCAATTTCTTACATCTTTGGGGTCAAACACAAAGCTGTAACTTCTATAATAAAGATTTCCTGTCTTCCCTCCTTGCTTCTTACTTATGGCTAAGTCATGAGCCAGGAATACCATGAAAATATAACAAAAAATCGCTTCTCAATTTTTGGAACAGCACTGTAACTGTTTAACATTAATATTGGTTTCTGATCTTTCCCCTCTCCTTCATTTCTCTTCCGACTGTGAGAGACAATTCAGTCCCTATACGAGGTCAGTCAAATAAGCCTCTCCATGGGGCCTGTGTGACTGGATAGTGAACCAATGTATTTTTAATGGATAAACCATACCAACTCTTCTCTATTAGATCCTCTCATTAAACCAGAGCAGTAGACCGAGAATTAGGTAATTAGATGACAGTCTGATTAAACCATAAACCCAGCCCTGCACCATGATTAGTAAGACTAGAAAGGTTTATTTTGGGGGGTGGGGGTTGGCAATCCTTGGGAATCAACATTCTACTGTTTGCACTCTCTGCTGGCTACAGCCTTCGTTCAAAGCAAATACTTTGCCAATATTAAAAAAACAACCTTTATAATTATGTTAATGAAAAATTGCAGCTCTATGTATTCAAATGCTCCTGCTAGGACAAGTTTAGACAATCTAGAAGAGGAGTAAGTAGTAACCCATCTGCATGGTTGAATGCTGACTTAGAAAGATGACACCTAAGTGGGGAGGAATGAGCGAGGTGGGCTGTGTTCAGCTGTGCTGTACATGCTAACCCCCACATTGTTGAGTTTGCCCACTGGGGAAACAGACTCCATAACATGGATTGCTAAATAACGTATTGATGTCCAGCTCAATCCTCAGAGTAGGATCATTATGGCTAGGTAAACTGTCAGCCACATGGAACATCTGAGCCAGTTTTTCAGCTGCATAATTTGCCATGCCCACATGAACACAGAAGAGTTAGGATAATATGGACCAGCTAGGAACCTGCCACTTGGTCTGAACTGTACTCATCTCATTTCACTTCTTAGAGTGCATCAGTATGTCAATTCCAAGAATGCCAGTGATGTAAAGTTTTAATCAGAGATTAACACAATGCACCCAGATAGCAAAGACATTTTTTAATACCATTGTTCTGCTGGTCCCTAGGACCTAAAAAAATCCCAGAGTCATCATCTTCAGATCCTGACAAAAGAAGAAGAAACATCACCTTCTCATTTACAATCTGTCTGTATGAAGTGGTATCCACTTTTATTAATGTGTTATATATTCCATCAGTCTCCCTTGTTTTGCTATTTAGTTAAATGTAAAAGAATGTTATTTGCCTTGTCTCCCATGATGAAGTTAGCCTGTAACAAATGAATAAATGAAGCATGTTTCGATATGTTACCTGTTCTAATATACACGTGGTGAACCTGCTGTTGCTGCTTCTTCTTTATCCTGGAATATTGCTTTTTCAGTGCATTAATATCAGTGGTCATACGCTCCATCATCATGCTGTTAAAAGCAGCATGATACTCGCTTCGGCAAGAGTCTATTGCTCCTGGACTTAATTCTGCAATGTTACTGGAACCCAGACTTTGTTCTTCATTCTGATCTGCAGAGTGGGAATACAGTGGGCATGAGGAGTAAATTGGCATGCTCAAGAGTTCTGCAGATTGTCTACAAGGGAAGTCTATGTCTGATTCCTATAATCTTATTTAACTGTAGTCTTTAATTAAAAATGTATTATAATATGCATAATTAACAAAGCTGCACTATTTAAATAAGTAGCATTACATTTCTAGAACTACTCCTTAAGAATAGCAAGGGTTTGAGGGGAGTTTAAAGAGTACAAAAGTCAATTAACATAGCAATGCAAAGTTATAAGCACAGTTCTTCAATTACCCAAAAGTACATCAAGCCATCACTGAAGTAATTCAGAAAGTGATTATTAAAGACACTCAGTTGGACAAAGAGGAGGCTAACAATGCAAGTTATAAAATACATTACAGTCAAGCAGGCATGAGATTAAACAGCCAAGCTAGTGATACCAGCAAGCAGCATCAAGAAACAGTTGTAGCACCACAGGGAGAACGGTGCTAGTAGCAACAAAAGGGATAGGCACAGAGCAGCTGAGGATCGGGCAACTTGAGAGGGTCTCTGATCAACAACTGCAGAGCAACAGCAGCGGGGCAATTTATTTTCACAGCTGTTTCTGATGCACCACCAAACTGGCACTCCAGGGTCAAGGGGATAACTCTTTTTCAAGGGATGTTTATTTGTCTTTGGCTTAGTTTGCAACAGCAGTTTGATGTTCTGACTGAGTGCTAGCTTGAAACAGCAGGTAGAGACTTACAGTCCCTCAGGAAGGGAAAAACAAAACACCACAGCAATCAAGAGGAAAATTGCAGCTTATAGGTCTCAGTAAAACCAAGTCACAAGAATGATGATGTGTAATCAGATAACAGCAACTGCGACATCAGTCTGGGGTTTTTTGGGGGGGAGGTAGGGATGTATTGGGGATAAATAACTACAGCCTCACCCAGGATATCATAAAATCACTGTTGATCCAGTACCATTTCATAAAGGTAGCTGCAAGTTAAATGATCTGCTTTTCCTGTATGGATCAAAATTTTGTTCTGCTTGTAGAGCTTGCACAGGTGAACATACAATTCTATCAGAAATTTTATTTCAACGTGGAGGGACTTGGAAAATAGTGACATTTTGTCAGAACATCCTAACCCAGGCCCAATTTTTTAAAAAACGTGAGTATACCCAAAACATAAAACAGTCTGAAGGTTTGGCCAAAAGGGTGGTGAAATGCCCTGAAGAATTCACTCACCACCGATAGGTTCCAATATTAGCCATGCATATGCTAATAAACGTCAAGATTATTTATTACATGTACACTCTTCAGAAAATGCTGACTACCTAATAGCTGTCTTGGAAGTAAGTGTGGATTTAAGGTGAGCATTTTTCCACATATGTGCTTCTTTTTTTGTGCGTGGGCAGCACTATGGAGTTGGTTTTTTAACTGTAGCCAAATCCTTAACCCACACTGTCATTTATTGTATACGTACAGCCTTCAAACTTGACTCTGAAGACACCTTCACAGACAGCAGAGCAAGTCATTTGGTACCTGCTGTAATCTCTACATGAATATAAAATACAACTTTCGAAGCTGCTTTCACAGAGGAAGCTACAGATGATTTCTGCAAGGTCATGCAGATTTAGTTGCGTTTTCCAAAATGAACAACAGCACTTTTACCTTTCATCTGTTTTTGGTATTTTTGGAGCTCTGGTGCCAAAAAGCCACTTAATGGTCCAAGACAGCCAATTGCATTGGCAATTGAATCTTCATCATCCAGGTCATTCTCCTCATCACTGTCTCTGGTTCTGCCCAGCCTTCTGTCAAATGAGAACATAAGAGAAAAAAGAAGGACACATTCTTAAATACAATCATTACCAAACATCATTATCTTCTTTAGGGGCATACGAGAGAAGATGCCACCTGCCTTTTCACTAACTGTGTAGAGTAAAGAATAACCCGATATGCAATAAGCAGCGCATTTCAAACTTACCCTGAAAGTGAAGTTGATTTTACTGTTGCAGGGAAAGGAGTAATGTTGTATGTGTATTTCTCTCTTAATTCTGCCAGTTGTGGGAAGGGAAACTGAGCCATGGTATAAACAGTCTAAGGAGGGGGAAAAAAAAAAAAATGCATCTTTTAAAATTTTCACTTTAACTAACAGTCTCACAAAAGATTCCTCCATGAACAGACTTTCACAGTTTTGCAGGCTTAAAAGCTGCACATTGTCATGTGCTATAAGAAAATGGAAATGGTCCAGTTTTATGATTCAGTCAGTATTTCCTGTAAGAAAAATAAAGACTGACTCACTAGAAAAATACATGGTTCAGAGAAAAAGAAAACGAAAACTGGAACTTATAACATGAGATGTAGGGTCCTTTTCAACTCCTATACTTATTTAATAATCCTTGTCAGTCCTCTCCTTGCCAGCCCACTGGAAATTCTCCTCCTCCAATTATGATTTCACTTACATGAATGCATGATCCAGAAGATCTATGTTTCTGCTCAAGTATTAAACAAGATATTGACACTAGCATAGATAGGAAGGAGCAGATCCTCACTTGATGTGGACTGTTAACAGATCCATTACTTCATCTAAGCAGCCCCAAGGGCTCATGTGAAGGAAACCACTTCAACACAAAAGTTATGGCCAAAGAGGAAGGACCTAACATTATCCAGCTAACTTCTCTCCTCTCGGCTTCTGGTTTTGATTGTTGTTTTGTGGGAGTTTCTTGTGTTTTTTTCTGGGGAGGGTAGCAGTGGTTGATTAAAAAAAAAAAAAAAAATTGCTCTATGGTGAACAAAGAAACCTCTCAGCAACTCTGAACGCAACATGTAGTCTCTAGAACTTAAAACAAGGCCATAAGAAACCCTAATACATTTTATTTACTTCAATACTCAGAGTTAAAGAAGATAAATAGTTGCAAATGCATTTGCTTTCAGCACTATATTTGTTTTAAGTCGGTTTGTAGTAACAGAGTATGTGTCACCAGCCAACCTGGCATAAAGACACATCATATTCATTGCAGTATCACTGCTGATTTGTTCCCACCTATTTTAGTTGCCTTTCTTTTTTTTCCTGCTTTTATACACTTACAACTATTCAGGACTTTAAATACCTGATACACAATTCATTAGGAGTCATATGTCAGAAGTAAAAAGAAAAAAATAGCCAAAAATACAATTTCTCATAGTTTCTCTGAAATATAACAACTTTTCCCCATCATGAAAATTAACTATCTTCTGAAAGACAGCAACATAAAAATTTCTCATTAGCTATGACAGGAAATCTTCACTTTTTATTTTTCCTCTGTGCTATTAAGTCAGTGACATTTTCATCTGAAGGCAAATGGCCTCAATTAAGGAGAAATTCTGAACAATTTCTACATAATTCATTCTTGAACCATGCCTTGTCCATGCTAAATACACAAAGGAAAATTGCAAACATTAATTCAGTAGTAGACCTTTCCTGACAGAAGAAGAAGAAAAAAAAGTTTCACTAACAGCAATGATGTAAGAAATGAGGAGCAGGAAGGACACTCCTGTCTGTATCAGGCACAGGGCAACAGTGCAGCTCAACAGGCTTCTGCATGAAAATTTGGCTTTTACAGTTTGAGCCATGCACTGACTCTAAGGCAAGGAGGATACCTACAAAACCCCAGAGCATGAACTGAAGCTTTGCCATGCCATGAAACTACAATGCTACCATGAAAGACAAATATTTTCTAGGGCCTGAACAGGAATATTCTGACAGTCTACCAGACGAAGGAATTTTATGATCTGGAGAAAGATCTACCTCCGACTCAATGTGTCTGCCTGTTTGTTTGATCTCCACCACACTTTCCTGTTTCTTTTACCCCATATGTCTCAACTCTCTCCCTTTGTAGAGAAGGAGGTGTGTCTGGAATTTATTTCTACTCTTTATGTCAACAGCCTTTTCAGGTAACTTGTTCCATATGCTAGTTACCCTTTAAGTGAAAGAGTCGACCGAGTCCTCCATTTACTCCTTGCACCTACTGTTTTATATTATGCACTTAGCTTTTGCTTGTCCCTATCTGTGTCTCTTACAGATTCTGTGCAATTTTTTTTCATTTAGCATATACATTTTTAGCTTAATTACTTGTTATCAGATTATAACTGGAGATCTCACTTGCCACCTGGTTAAGAGAGCCACAAACAAATTTTATGCTGATGCAAGTTCCAATGAAAATTAAAAAAATATTGTCAATCAGCACCTGTGCCTCACAGCAATGCTACAGAGTCAAAGCATCCTGTTCTTAGTTTGTACACAGCCTTGGAGCCATCTGGTTAATTCTGGTTAAACTGTGCCAGAGGGAAACCACCTACACATACAAAGCACAATGCAACCAAACATTATCTTATTTATGGCCATAAGGGACAGATTCTAGGAACAAGAGAACAGAGAAGGAAAACCTCTCTTCTCACCTTAAATCAGTAGCATTTGTCACTCCCTTGCCTTACCCTGAAAATGAAAAGCCATCTACACCCTCAGCAGAACACCATACAGAAGGTGAAAGGCTGTGGCTTCCAAAAGAGGGTAAGCAGTTTTGCCTTTGCAGACAGCTCAAACGCACTTATCTTAAGAGCCACCTCACACAGGTTTAAAGTTCTTCTCTCTTTTCATTTTCACTCAGAAAACTAAACAAAAAGCAAAATCAAAAAACAAACCCAAAAGAAAACAGACAGAACACTACCCAAGCAGAAAGTTAATAGCGAATACCCATCAAATCAGGGTAAATGTCCCTGGGAGATAGTCTAAAATGCTAGGGTACTATAGAGGGATTAATCCCTCTTCACCACAGTAAACACACAGGGATGCCTCTCCTTCTCCTGTTTACTTCTTATTTCCTCTACGTTGCAATGTTTCTAAGCAAGCAAACTGAATTATCTTAGCTGCTTATAAAAATGCTCGCTTTCTAAGAAGGCATGGAAACATGAACTCAATCTAGTACATGCTGTTTAGAATATCTGCAGACGTCTGGCATACAGCCCTCTGTCTCCATGTTAGAACCAAAGTTTATTAATAGGCCAATAAAATCACAATGCTGAATACTGTATTTGTTTAACTTCTAGACCTAAATACATATGCCGTCTAGCATCTGATGTGTACAGCACTTACCCTTTATTTACCTAAACTGTTCAATCTGAAAAAGGAGGAAGCTGTAGGCTTGCTTGCTCCTCCCATCCCTCCGTGTTCTCTGCACAACACTAAGAACTCTTGCCATATAAGGGCCAAATCTACAAAAGCTTTAAACTCTCAATCTTAGGTATATGTACTGTCTGCATGGGAGGGAGGGAAGCATGCATTTTTAATGATAAACTTGCACCAACTATACATGCTGGTGGACAGAATGAGGACAAGAGTCCTCTGATCTACTTCAGACATCTGCTCTGTCAACACTTGCCCCTGAAGTATCAGCCACACCTGTCTCCTGAACTCCGGAAGAAAACTGGCCTTTTAGAGCACAACTCATTTTCTAGTGGCAGAAAAGTGTCTGTTACTCTTCACTGGCTTAAGTGAGCCTAGACAGGTTTAGATGGAAATGTAAGTGTCATGCAAGTCTAAAGAACAGTGAGATGATTGCCACCAGCAACCTTTACTGAAACGTGTAGAGAAGGCAGAGTAGGCATTAATCCTTTCCTGTAGTAGGTTACTAATCCTTGAGGCACCCTGTAAAAAGTATCACATGTAAATTCACTATTCTGATTTTGATTAGGGGAAAAAGGAAAAAACAAGAAAAAAAGAACATTTTGAAAACAAAGCAGTCTAAACATTCATCTCTGGCTGACTCCTCTGAAACAGTCTCAGGCAATTTTAAAAAAATGGTGTCTTCAATAATGCAGTGGTTCATATTTATTTATTTTCTTCTCCAATACAGAGAAAAATGTTCAAATGCATCAGCCAGACACACAGTAGCATTCGTATTCCCTAATGGTAAACTCTTGTAGTGCCTAGTTCTCTCCACTTACAGAAAAGACAGACTAGAGTGAACAGCTCAGAGATGGCCACACTGCCAGTACCTGCCTCTGACTTGAAGAATGCTATCTAAACTATAGTGTGGTTTCTTCAACTGAGAAGACACACATAAACCAGACACACTGCTTCTCTACGTAGAAAACTTAAGCTTGACACATTCTCCATATCAATGGCAATGCTTAACACTCATGTCAGTGTCACAAAATACATGTGTACACTATGAACACACATATACTTTGCACCAAGTGCTTATTTTTTTCTGAAGCACAAAAAGACTAGATTAATATACTTATAATTGCAACAGTTAAAGAATCAAAAAGATCCTTCCATCCCTCCAACCACTAAGCCACCTATGCCTTATCTTCCATTACACACAAAGGCAAAGAAATCCACAGAGTCACTAAAGCCCACTTCAACTTTCCTGACATTATTCTTTGTCACAAATACCAGTTCTTGATTTTGTACTACACTTGAGACCAGGAACTGAAACACAGTGAATATGAAAACGTGTCAAGCTTGTGTCACCCTCCTCATGCATCCTCAAAATCCGAATTGCCTTGTGAGAAATCTTAACGCTTATTTTAGAAGTGTGAGTACCTCTCCAGCTGCATTTCTATTTTTGAAGCAAAACAAAGACACAGTACTCACCTCTCCCATTCCCAAAGCTCCCTCATGACACAAAATAACAACAATAACAAAAATTTAAAATCTGAAAGTAATCCTTTACTTCAGGACAGTACTTTAGCAGACTAGGTAAATGTATTACCCCAGACAGTCAAGTTTTGCTTCCAATAATGTGTGACAGAAGTCACCTGCTAACTACTGTTAATAAACTCATGCAGCTTCATAGAGAGAGGCTGACTTTTTTTCCTTCCCTTAAAACAGGTGAATTATTGCAGGTGAATTATGTGTTCTATATTTGCACCCATTTAAACACCATGCTATAACTCATCAAAAGCAAAGCTCCAGAACTGTCTTTATAAAGATTCCAGAGGTCTTTATAAAACATCTAAGCAGACAACACCTCAAGGATATCACAAAAAGAAGTGTAAGTGTGAATCAATAAAATTGTATCTGCAATACTAAAGGCCCTTTCCTCTCCTTTCCCAGAACACTGTGGCTCTTTGTTCTCACACAATGACGTATGCTTTGAGAATTCAGGGACTGCAATTATCTACAAATGTCTTTGTTTATAGTTCACTGAGACTGTTCAAGGCTTTTTTTTTTTTTTAATCATGAAGGATGGTTTTTTTTCCCCTTCTCACATAATAAACTCATCTTGCACAGTGTCTGCAGAATGAAAAGGGCACAATGTAATAATAACTGACCAAAACATAAAAATAAATCAAAAGAACACCATAAAAATTATGACTACTAAAAGATTCTACATCTTACTTGTGTAAAACCAATTGGGAATTGTATCACAACAAACTTTCAGCTGTCAATATACAACCAATTTTTATCAAATAGAGCCTAATGATTCTCTATACTTAATGTAAAAGATAAGAATTTTAGCTTTAACTGCAGGTCATCTATTTATTTAACTGAAATGCTAGTTCAACTCAGTTATCTTAAACTTTTATTCTTGGAAGAGTTAAGGTTTCTGCAGTATCTGAACTGTAATTTATTAGAAATCAGCACCTGAAGGATGCACACAAAATACAAACAATAATTACATATCACAACTACTCACCTGCATGAGTTCATTGCTGTCAATCAGACTGTCTTCCAGCATCTCCTGGGTCAGCTTCCCCATGGTACTGTAGAACTCATCTGCAGTTTCACAACATTCTATTTGCCTACATCAAAATACATATTGGTTTTTCATTTTACTTTTACATATGATAATAGACCTCCAAACCAAAACTGAACTTTCTGTCATCATAAAATATGCAGTTTCTATCAGTCACCTTAATTCTTAAGTTTATTGCAACCCCCTCTATGCTTCCAAATAATAAAACTATGCACATCACACTGGAAAGGCTGGTGCAGTAAAAGAATGTACTGAGCATGGTTTACTGTCCTGACTCCTCATGATAAAGGATTCATGCATGTCCAGATAGGTTATTCCCTCTGCCTCTTTCACTTCTACTACATGAGAATCAATAAAGCACAAGGGAGCTTTTCCATCAGCTCAAAAAGGAAGCATAAAGATTTATTGATTGCCTCATCACCAATTCTTCACTGTGCACGAAATGGATGAATTCGCTGGTTGAACTTTTTGTCAGATGGAAACATTTTAGCATAAGCACTTCTCACCCCATCTTCATGCCTACAAAGATAGTCTTGAGAAGTATGAAGATCATGAGACTATGATCAGTGTTTCAGGCCCCACTTCTTTAAGTCCCTCCTGTTCTATTTCTAGTGGAGAAGAAAGAGGAACAAAATCACAACCTTCTCCAGGCAAAAACATTATGCCCAATCTTTTACTTCCTCATCTCATTTGACATCATTAATCACAAACTTTCTGTATATCAGTTCTCATTCAGGTTTAGTGACTCACTGTCTTCTGTATCTCTAGTCATCCCACCAGCGTCCCTTTCTATCAATTGCCCTCAGATCTGCCAGACCTCCTCCTATTCCCCACAAACAACAGTTACAAGGTGTGCAGCATGATCAGCTTATTCTTTTGGACATATTCTTATAGATGTCTTCATTCTGTTCCTTCCAATTTTTATAAAACATGTTTCATTTTTGCTTTAAGTTTTATGGTAAAATCTTCAAAGCAACGACTTACTTTTAATAATGTTATGAGTTGGAACATCCCTAATTACAGCTTTTAAGTGCACAGAGACCGACTGTAACAGGACCTTATCTAAAGGTATGGTACAAAGTAATAAAGTGCAATGGGACTACATATAGCTTAATACTAATGCAAATGATTCATGCCAGTTTCATTCATGAACTGAACAAATAAAGCTCTTGGGAAATTATCATCCTAATTATTATTCTTCAGATTAAAAATTAAACATGCTAAACAAAGTCTCTTACAACACTACTGGCCTTCAGTGCTAATTTACTCAGAAATTAAACTTCCAAGGAGAGAGCTGAACATAAATCCCAGTGATTCAGTCTCAGAGAAAAAAAGGAAGGTGAGTGTTGATAGGCACCACAAAAAAAACAATTGATGCAGCTGCTGATGCTGGCTGAGAAAAGGTTCCAGCTGAACTAACATCTGCTCAACCTGTCAGAGCTCACACCTCCCACTGAAGTCAGTGACAAAACTCATTTCTCCACCAGCGCTGTACACTCTTTGGAATACAAATATTTGCTATGACAACAGAGGAGTTTAGAAGAACTAACCACCTCTTGTCTTTTGTCCTGTGTGGTGAGTTTCCAAGTCCATAAACGACTATAACAGAAACTTGGCTAGAACATCCTTAAAAGCAGAGAATTTCAGGAAAATTTGTTTGCAGGCCTTAACAGAAAAGAACCGTGTAACACCAAACCATTCTCTTAGTAGCACTTTTCATGGTTATAGCCAATGGGCTCAAATCCTTAAGTCTTCTTAGGGAAGATAGGGGAATTAACATCCCCCCAGCTTCAGATACCCAAATAAATGAGCTAGTCACCCTTAAGTCTCTCTGCATATCCTTCCAGAGTGTTACCAGCTCCCTCAGAGGTCTATGTTCTAGAAAAGACCAACCAACCTTTTAGCATATCATGAAGACACTATACACAGACAATGCAAACAAATGGAGACATTTCCTGCAGCAAGGGTCAATTAGCTATCATGCCCATTCTGACACAATGCTAGAAGCACATGTTTTTGGGGAAGCCATAAAGGCACTTCATGTGGCTTTTTCAAAGCAGAATCATTCTGAAAGATCACATCTTGTTTAGAATTGAGAACACACTCTTCAGAACAACACAAGTTACACATATTGCTCATACTGGAAAGAAAAATCAGATAAAAATAACCACTTACTCTCCTAACTTTGCCCAGATAGCCAAAGCTACTCTCAGTATAATTTCAGAGCCTTCAAAGAATACTGAATCCCAAATCTTCAGAACTGTATGGTTAGGCAGGCAAGTAGCAAAGAGAGTCAGAAACCACTGCATTGTGAAGACATTTGTAAGTGGGGGTTCGTAGCCTCCTGAAATTAAAAAAAAAAAAAAAAAAATTAAATCCTTAAAGTAATTGTAATTTCCTATTATTTTAGAAGGAGTATTAATAGCATACTGAAATCCACAAGACACTCTAGTACCTCTGTTATTGCTGTCCAAAGATAAGCTAAGAAAAAGAGCGATGGAGATAAGAGCGATACTTAATCACCTTTCATTCTGCTGCACTGCAAAAAGCGCTTAGCAGCAGCACTGGTTTGGGACTGTAAACCTTGGAAAACACCACCAGTTTTTTCTTCCTTATATCAAGAGAGATCCTTCCCCAAAACCATGAGTTAAAAGCTTTTATTAAAAAACATAAAAAACCCCACCCAAACCACCGTGTTTCTTTAGAAACTAATGGAGTAGGAAGTTTTTATCTACATGAAGGTGAAGGTGACTGTCTCTGTAAAGTCTCATCTATTGTTTGCATATCCTGATGCGCCTCCAGCTTAGCAGAAGCAACTAACACGTTCAGTTTTCCTTTTGGCTGATTAAGTTTCAAACAAGATGAGTACTTCAACCTGAAACTCTGAACTTTTACTTTCTTGATATGCTCAGAGAACACTTTGTGCATCCTAGTATCAACTGATGCACTGAAGGCCATGACCAAAGAGGCTGCTGCCCGTGAAAACACTTTCAAACAGCAAATACTTTCTTGATACCCCTTCTTTGTTTTTATACAGTTTGGGCACAGTCACAGTTAATTTACATGGAACAAGGTAGCAGGTCTTTTCTAAGATGGAACTCAGGGTGCACTTAGCTTCCAGACTGAGCAAAAAAATCACCCTCCCCAAAACACTCCCAAATAGAAGACCTGTATCTCATTAAAAAAAAAAAAAAAAAAAAAAAAGGAATGCTATACCAGAACAAAAATTCAAGTGCAAAGCCAGTTTTCAAGTAATAACCCAAGAAGTACTTCTGAGTTTTGCACATGTGTATGGCTAAGCATGCAGGTGAAGAAAATACTGACCAGCCGCTACTGGCTTTCACATTTTAATTCTTCTCAGAACACCTACGTAAGCTAGCAACTACAAGGAGCAATGGCAGCACAGGTATCTTCAGCTAAGGGAAGAAACAACCTTTTCAAGGTAGCCCTTGTACTAAGCTGTGTGTTACAGTGGTTGTCACCCCATACATTTTATATCCTTGTCAACACAATTCCATTTGCAGTTAGTGGTGGGACCAAATTATTTCCCCTTTATTTCTTCCTGAGAGCACCGCCTATTTATGTTAAGGTTATCAATAATGGAAACTCTCATCTTTCACCTTAAAAATTTAAAATACATATTTGAAGCAATAAACTCACGCAAACGCTTAAATGACTGTATTTTTAGACCAGTGTTCAGGTGAAATAATAGCAAAATGGAATTTAATAGCATTTTCTGTTGAACCTACCGCCACTTTCCCTGTTAGCAGCTCTTTGCAGGGTGTCTAAGTGCTGGGACAGCTCAGGAAGCTTCATTCGTAAAAGATCTCGGAAAACAGCCATATCCACAGAGAGAGCACGGAGATTATTGACAAAATAGCTATCAGGAAGCACCTTATCAATTAGGTAAATCATGATCTGTGGGGAAAATGCAATATTATCATGTAGAACTTAGAGCCAGTTATTTTCTAGGAATAACAGAAAAAAAAATAAATCTTAAAGTTCTCTGTTCACTAAAGAGTGGCTTGGAGCAAGTGGAAACACACGCCTCTGGTATCTCTACCTACACGGCGAGAATACATTCTCATTTTAAGCTTTCACAGGTACTCTAGGTATCCATAAGCAATCAAGGTACAAAGGCTTCTTGAAGCTGTCTAGAATTTATGAACCATTAATGACCGAAAAATCCATGTCACAGTAAGCTATGCCCAAACTGAAAGCAAAGGCAACTTTAGGCACTTCTGATGATGTACATGTTTATGAGATTCTCCACTGCTGGAAAGTTCCACTGTCCTTCTCTGGTTGTTAACTGCCACAACTAGAAGACTGATCTTCCAAAGCATCTTTTTTCCCCCTCTCCAAAATGCAAGATACTGTTCCTTAAAAAACATTCTCTGCACATTCTACTGTGATGTATTTCCGTGTGCTGCACTTCACCTTGTCATTGTAAAAGGTGCTAAATTAAGCAGCACAAAACATAAAATGTTTCAAGTGAGATAGCTCAACTACATGGGTAGTAATGTATGAACTGGATACTGTCCTGTGACATACTGAACAAATGCAACAAAATATGCAGAAGTTGATGTATATCATCAGCCCAACAGAAGATACTAACCTTCATTTCAGGATCTTTTAAAATCTCTATGGCCACTCTACAAACCGTACCCAGAGTGCCTGCATGCAGTCATCCCATCCGCTTCATCTCTCCATTACTCCTTTGTTAAAATTTCAAACAAGCATCCTTTTCATGTTTCACACAACCTCTAATGCTTGAGAAGCATGGCACATTCATACACAGAAGAAAATCCTCCTTCCAATTCCCCTCTTTTCATAAGAAGCCCAGAAAAATAGCTTGGCCGACACTGGACTTCCAAAAGCACCACCTTACACCATCTCACAGCCTCCTTTTCTCTCCCAGCAGCTTGTGACTGCATACTACCACTTGTCCTTGCAAGATTTTTTGGGGGCAATAACAGTCTTCTCCATGTTTTAAAGCATGTAGATCAGTAGTCAATACAGGCAAATCAATAGCTTTTACACATTTTCTGGCAGTGGGGTTTTTGTTTTTGTTAAGTTTAAAGGATTGAAAGGAAATAAGTGACCAACAAATAAGCTGGAATTTCATATCTTATCAATACATTCCTTAACCGCTGAATACTGGGACAACTCATTGTCTTTCAAAAATATGCTTTATTTTCTTCAGATATATTTCAACCAACAGAAGGATAATTTAACATAGCAACATTAACTTGCAACTATGTTGTGTTTTCGTTAATTTCTTATGTCATGTCATTTTATAAATGCTTTTGCTCCCTACCCACTGAGTACTACTAGTTTAGAAATCTCAGATATATGAGAGCATAGGAAAGAAATCTTTTTGCAACACTGAAGTCCATTCTATTTCACTGACATGTGAATTGTTTTGAGAATGCTTTTTTTTAAAAAGTTTGCAATAGATTGCAATAGATACTTTCTTCATGACACATCTCTATAAATTTATTTTTATTATTTGTAGTATTTCCCCATAATAATGTGCAGGAAAAAATGTTTTTTAAGTTTCAGTATCTATGAGACTTTTATGCATACTCTTGATAGCTTCTACATATGCAAGTTGTAATTTTCTTGCTTACCATAACTTCAGTAGGCTAACTTGGAGTTGTCAACAGAGATTAACTTAAACATGCCTATCTTAACTAGTGAAGACTCCAGCATCCCTGGCTGGGCATTCACTGAGACTACCACATTGGATCCTGTGCTGTTAAAGCCCCTTGGTGTCAGTAGTAGCAGTTGTTTCCCAAACCCTGGGAGACACTTCCCAGACACAGAGTTTTTGTTTATAACATCTTTTCCAGAAAGGGGACCTGACTGGTAAGCCACAACAATCCCCTTGCTCCCTTAACTCCTAGACTCCGCAATAATCCAAACATGCTTTCCCCATAGCTCAAATCCTGAGGGCAGCTTTACAAGCAACAGCCTCTGCAGCTGTTCCGAAGTCACTCATCACTTGCTTTAGATAGCACAGTGACTACAAGGAGACAGCCACATGCTAACCTCCAATTCTTTTACCCCCACACACTGCCCCATTCCTTTTTTTCCCTTTCCCTTTTCTCATCTCTCTTCTGGGGAAATTCCAACCCTGCAAAGCCCACACACTAAGCTCAGAAAAGAAACTACTTCATTTTCCATACTTATTTCTGCCAGATAAAGCCCATTTTGGTGCTAACAGCCTTTAGTGCTTTACCTCCCTGGGCAGTCTGGTACCATTCCATTGTCTCCTTAGCACAAGAAGCCTGACACACTCACAGTAGAAGATCATCAAATAATATAAGGATGCATACAGTTCTTATAATCAATTTGGACTTCATAAACTTTGGGCAACCATACTTCCTATATTATCATAGTGTGTTTCAGACGCTTCCGGGCAGTATAAGATATATATCTTTTATATAACACATAAAATGTGACAAATTATAGTTAAAAATACTGAGGAAATTTTTAGCAAGAATTATTGAAAGGAAATTTTACTTTCTGATATAAACCAGATATATGATGGGATTTTCTTCCTACTACAGGCAGCTCTCTAGAATTAAGTATTAAATACCAGCTAGCTGGACTCTACTACCACAAGCTTTATATTTTAGGATCTCTGAGTAGATATAAATATTTACCATATTTAAATAATTGTCTAAGGCAAAACAAACAGCTCAATATCTCAAGAGTCACAGTCATGTTTGCTAATTTGACCACAACTCATACATATGAGCATGTTTACTTAAGGGAATGTGCACAAGATCTCAGCAAACTTTAAACCACATCCTGTAACAAACTGTGTTTTCATTTTCTGACATACTATAAATTTAATTAAGCTTTCTTTTAATTAGAAAAGGTCTAAAAAATAAAACACTGTATAACTAATGTAGCCCAGAAAGTAGCTTCAAAGTGATTTACTTTCATTTTAAATATTTGTGTTTTCCTAGAATTTGCTTTAAAACGCAGCAGATTTATTAACTGCCTCACACGCTACTGCCACACAAGTGGTTGATAATGGAATCTGAAGGTTTTAGCTACCTATAGTGTTTGGAAGCAGACCTGAGATCATAGGATAAGCTATTCTACTCAGTAGCAGTGTTCCCATTTATTTTTATTACAGCCAAACCCTCATTTGTTTCTGTTTGAAAAAAAACAAACAAACCAGCAATAACATTCAAACTGTACATTTAGCTCAGAGAGGATAACAAAGAATCCACAGATATAAATTGGCTAACTCCTTCGAGTCCTTCTCTTTTTGGCTGTCTACAAAATTCACACACTAGTTTATTCTGAAGTTCACTAAGTAAAAGCAATCATCAACACTGGAAAAAAAAAAAAATTACTCACTTTCAGGGCATCCCCTTCGTTGCCCTCCATTACTTCCAGAATAAGTGCAGCTAGTATGTTAAATCCTTGACAATAGCCAACAGATTTATTCCACCTGGCATAAGCCAGCAAAACACGTTTTAATACCACTCGATCTTGCTCTGCCTCTTGGCCGCAGTAAGAACTGCAACCAGTTCGGTGAAGGTCCTTTACAAGGGGGGGAAAAAAAAAAAAACAAAACAGACAAGAACAGACAGGAAAGATGTGTATCTTCCCCCTTTAGTTTTCCCGCCTGTCCCAGTTTTCCTTCCACCTCCATCCTCCCAATACATATTCCCAAAGTTGATGATAATGTTTCTTTTTTAATCGGTAAACCTTTAGCTTACTGAAGAGAAATAGGTTTAGCAAGCTCTTAAGTAAACAAGTCACCTAAAAAATGTTCATATGAAGTTGTCACAGAAGATATTAACAAATATCTAGGTTTCAAAGAGGCAAGACATAACAGCTTGCTTAACCGAACAAAAAAAGAGTGACTGTTTTTATTGATGTATAAATAAACAACTAAGTAATTAAGTTTTCAAAACATAAAAAACCAGAAAGTGTCCTTGAGGTTTAAGCCATTTGTAAGTGAAAGGTAAAATGTGCTACAAATTAGTATCTATAAGCTTAAATTACCAACTGTAGATGACAACTGTAATAATCAGGAACACAAAGCATTCTGCTCTGCATACTCTAATTAAGGTGACTATTGAACACAATCCTTCCTAAACAGAGTAATACCTCCTAAATAGGTAAACAGACTAATATTTAAGTCACCACAGCAATACAAATCTATTAAGCTCTTCCCTAAAACAGCGCACTGTTTAAATACTAAATGTTAATTAGCTAAGAAACATACAGAGACAAAGGTGCTTTACTACTGTAAAATAACTGAGAAATGTTCAATTGGTGTATTATAAAACATACTTTCTTAATCCCAGCAAACATTTGTGTTTATTTATAGATAAGAGGAAAATTCTCTCATGTTCTCCATTAAACTCCAGTATTTCTTTTCAAATAAAAAAGTAGAAATTAAGAAAAAAAAAATCAGTAGTAACAATTTTTTTCCCAGCTAATACTAACCATATCAGTGCATGAGGACCAGAAATGCTAAAGGAATAATTTCAGTGAGCTAAAGAGAATTAAGATATAATTTTTGCCAAAACAGTTTCAGAGGACAAAATAAAACCGAATTCCATCTATTAAAAAAAAATTCAACTTTTCATTCAAAAATTAAAATAAAGTAACAACTTAACTGGCTACCTTTACTATCTGGATGCCCATAGAGTCGTCATCAGGATTACTTCTTTCATTGAATGTGAAACGCATGGTTTTATCCCAGTCAATGGCTATACTGTGTAAGTACTGATCAGCCAGGGTCAGCCAAACCTAGAAATACACAAAGAAGCTCAAGAAATGAATTATTTCTCAGATAAAACATGAAGAGTTTTGATATATATAATTTTAGATGAACCTCATCAGCTTCACCCATATGTGATCTACTGCTAGGCTTGAAATATAAAAAAGAGGACTACATCTAAAACTATTTTTGCACAATTAAAGTAATACCTTGCTCCCTAAAACAAAGGAAAGAAACAGTCAGCATTAAGTGTCCAGATCTGTGAACTGCTTAGAAAGATGCAAGTCTGTTGGCAGAACCTGAATCTACAGGGGTCCTTCAAGATGGAAGCACATTCTCCTACAAGGACCCTCTTCTAACTTTGTAACTGGCAAGGCGTTTTATAAAAAGGTAACACTGCTGCAGGCTTTCCTCAAATTCAACCATGGATCCATCTCCTGGAAACCCCACAAAAGAAATCTAGCAGCGCTTCTCTTTACCAGAGGTCTCTTCTGATCAACTTTGCAGAAAAAGAAGCATCTATCATTAACTATTTGGGATTAATCTGAAACTATCATCTGGATCAGAGTAATTTACCCTTTACAAGAGGGCTTCCTAAACTGTTGGTGCTACATGGAATTCTGAAAACAAACATTTTGACTATTTTTAAAGCCCAATAATTACCACAACAGATTTATGCATGTGTAAGACAAAGGCTGAACCTTTATTAAACATCTGAAGAGTTCCTGAACCATGAAAGACACATGAGAGATCATACAAAGACAACAAGTAACAATAAAGGATCTTCAGGAAACTGAAAGAAATCATGAAAGCAATTTGGTTGAGTTTTATGTCAGTCATTAACGCAAGTGAGAAAAGCAGTTCAGACACTTCCCCCAGATTGAAACACTTAGATAGTTGCATGATGATGAATTTATAGACAGCTCCAAGAATCTCATGTTTTCTGCATTTAAATGTCCCTTCCCACACTTCTGCAAAGCCACCCATGCAGAGGAATGCCGCAGTTCTGCCTCCCAGCAGTCTTTGGCACCGCTGTCATCCTACTGGTGTTGTTTAACTAGATTCTTTTCCTCTGCCAGCCCCAGAAAACAAACGTCACATGCCACAGCAATAATGCAGATGTCACCCTGCTCCTTCTGCTGCCAGCAAAGGAGGCAATCAGCATGCTGCCAACACAAAATGCTTCCTTTATTTTGGTATCAATCTTAAAATCATTGGGAAACCAGGGAACGGCAGTGAAAAAACCCACATCCCTTCTTTGGTTAGCATCATATGGTCACATGTGAGGAAACAGAGATAGGCAGAATGAAAAGGAAAAACAGAGATCCGAGTTGGATGATGTGGCAGAACGTACCCTCAGCAAGTCTTCTGATGACACAAAACTGGGAGGAGAGGTTGATAAGCCCAGGGGCACTGTGACAGGCTGGAGAAATGGTCTCACAAGAACCTCATGAAGTTCAAGAAGAAGAAATGCAAAGTCTTGCACCTGGGAAGGAACAACCCCAGGCACCAATATATGCAGTGGACTGTCCCAGTTAGAAAGCAGATTTTCAGAGGAGCTGGGGGCCTGGTGGACACCAAGTTGACCGTGAGCCAGCAATGTGCCCTTGTGGCAAAGGCAGCCAACAGCCTCTTGGGCTGCATCAGGCAGAGCACTGCCAGCAGGTCGAGGGAGGTGATCCTTCCCCTCTGCTCAGCACTGGTGACACACACCTGGAGTGCTGGGTCCAGTCCTGGGCTCCCCAGTGCAAGAGCAATACAGAGCTACTGAAGATAGTCCAGCAAGGGGCCACTAAGAGGATTAAGGGACTGGAGTATCTCTCCTGTGAAGAAAGGCTCGGAGAGATAGGACTGTTCAGCCTGGAGAAGAGAAGGCTCATGGGGATCTTATCAATTTATATAAATACCTGAAGGGAGGATAAAAAGAGAATGGAGCCAGTCTCTTTTCAATAGAGCTGAGTGACAGGACCAGAGACAATGGGCACCACCTGAAACACAGGAAGTTCTATCCAAACATTAGGAAACATTTTTTTTTTTACTGTGAGGGTGACCAAACACTGACACAGGTTGCCCAGAGAGGTTGAAGAGTCTCTTTCCTTGGAGATATTCAAAAGCCATCTGTACACAGTCCTGAGCAACAAGCTGTAGGTGGCCCTGCTTGGCAGTGGGGTTGGACCAGATGACCTCCAGAAATCCCTTCCAATCTCAGCCATTCTGTGATTCTATGACCTCTGCCACTCATGTACCACAGAAAATTCTCTGAGAGACTTACTGCAGCATGGGAAAAGAACATTTCAGGAAAGAAAAAAGGCTGTTAGATGGATATAATGATTCACTGGAGTTGTAGATTAAAAATAAAATAATAGTGGTATGAGAAAAATAATGTCACTGTAAGTCTTCCATTTCCTTCCCCCTGATTTGTAAAAAGAAACAGTTTGGTTTGGAAAGACAGCAAAAAGAAAACAGGAGAAGGAAATTAATCTGATGCATCGAAAATATATGGAACTACATACATTTCATAAAGCTTTAAAATATTCTTTTTATTAAAATTACATTTCTAAAGCTGAACTTGTGTGATTCAGTTTTATAGAAAAGATGAATAGACATGCCTTTTTTTAGGCTAGGGAACTTCAAATGTTGTTGAAGAAAGCAATATAATAAATTTATCAAATTCCCACTGGACCCTTTCCTACAACACCAACTCACCAATTTCCCATTAATGGTGCACCCTACCATTCTACATAACTCCTGACTCTGAACTTCCCTAATTTACGCAATTTGTCTTTCCCCCATCAAATGTTTCCATGAGCATTCTTGTCAGCACTAGCATCTATCAACGTCACCTTCACAAGTATGACAGCCTACACTGGAGATGTGTTCTCCTTTCAGCTGATCATCAGCTGCAGAGGCAGCTTCACCAATGCAATTCCTTGAGACTGAAAGAATGAAGCAATAACATCTGCACCAGAATAAGTTACCTAAGCACCAAGGATAAAGAGCCTGACTATTGAAAATACCATCTCTACCTGTCTCCAGCTGTCCTGAGGTCATCACTGAAGAATGTAAACTAGGAAAAATCCCCAGTACAACTTAAACTTAAAACTTCCAAATGTTTTCTAAAAAACACTTGTAATATTGATGTCATTCACCTCTCCTGAAAATCTCACAGGCAGTATGTCCCACAAAACATACAGGTCTACTTACTTTTCTCCGCCATTCTTTCGGTATGCCTGTCGGCAATCTGGCCACTGCTTTGAGTGCATCATGCCACTAAAAGCAAAAGCATCCAAAAAGGTATCAAATCCATCATTAGTTTAATGCAACAGTATAGCAACATTTACAACACTGCAGACATGCACATTCATTTAATTTTACTGCATATATCTGAGGGTTTAACTGCTTAACCCACTCACAGGGAAAATATAATTATTTACTTAGAGATATAACAAAAATATAATATTCTAGAACATACTTATGAGATATCCAAGTAAACAATGAAAGCCTATATCATTTTTCAAATACTAATGGAACAGCTGTTGATGCAGTATTTCAAATAATACGATGACATTAGGATGACAGATGCACTTTTGAACTGGGGCAAATAGCCGAATTGAAGAGAACCTAGTCCTTCATAAACTCAATAGAAAAATGAAGTAAATTACCTGCTGAAAACCATTTTGACCTAAAGATGGTTCAAGAGTGAATTTCAATTTTGTATCAACCCCTAGAAACAAAAAGGAAAAAAAATAATCATGGCTATTTTCATTTAGCTCAGAAGGAAAAAAAAAACAACAAAGCAAAACACAATTGAAATAAACCCACAAGATTTCAGCTACCTGTTTTAACAACTACATTTCAATCTGTTTCTGTGAATTCTTGTCTTCACAGTGGATTCAAGGCGCATGTTAAGAAGTACATGGACAAAACGGTTTTAAAATGCAGTAATACCCTCTTTAATGACGTAGTTCAGCACAACTGACTTCACTAAAAGTTATGCAGTACACTATTCTACAAACTGTATTTGTACACTGAAAATTATGATATGCATCCACAGAAAAAAATACATACAGTTTCCTTCCACCTATTTCAACTTCTGGATATTTAATCACTCAAAACTGATTTTTAAGTTTGCAATGCTAAGGTTATTTTATTGCTCTGAATATATATTTTTTTTAATAACTTCTCAGCACATAAAGCACATTTGGCCAGTATTCTCATTTAGGCTTGAATTTTATTTTGGCCATTACAGCAAATTCTTCCATTTGTTATAAAACACGTCTGCTAATAGTCTATGAAATACAGTATTACATAAAATACTAGGATCTCAAGATTGGCCAACACTAGATCCTGATTGTGGCCCTGGAGTATTCCATAACACGAAGAACACCAACACCTTTAATTTGCTTTCTATCCCACAGTTTGAATGTACAGCAATTTGGTCCTTCAAATGCCGCTGTCCGGAGCTCAGGTGCTGAACACAGAATCGCACCACATGTCCCCCTCAAGTCTTCTGGCATAAAGAATAAAGCCTTTCTTTCTTCTTCATCAGTAATTTAATACAATGGATATTTAAAATTATGTAAGGCATAGCTTCTTGTCTTTCTACAATATCAAGACAAACATTTTAAATATATATTTTAATAGCCATATAAAAAACAAACAAACAAAAAAAAAAAAAAAACAGACTTTAATCCTGCAAGGTTTTAAGTATGTAAAATCCATGCTAATCAACTCACCAGCAACAGCGCTTTGGAGGACTAAGCCTGCAAGTCTGACAGAAACCCAGACTGTAGTGGCATTTGCTAGTTATGGAATGTAAAATGCCTTTCAGCATTTGCATACTGATGTCCTAATAAGTAATTTAAAAGCCTTATTGCCTGATCAATATGTATTTATACACAAAGCCTTCTCCTTCAAGGTTTTGTGGTTTCTTTTTTTTTTTTCCTCTGGTGGGGGACAGGGAAGAGAAGTAAGAAGATTCAAACAAAATACAATTTGGTTCAGAATTTTAGCATTTTAGAATTGCATCACTGCGACCTGGGGATTGGTGCTTTCATTTCCCTGCTTCAGATTTAGAAAGACATGCTTGTCAGATCCATAAAAATAAAAGCTTCAAACCATAATAGAAATGTCTTGGAAAAACATTAAAGGATTAACAGTTATTCCTGGAAGTAACTGTTTATTAGCATTCTTCCCCATAATGCCACTGGCACTGAGCAGGAACTCCTAATAGGTAAATCTCTTCATAATAATTCAAAGCAACGTAGCAATGCCAGTAACCTACTAAGATAATTATATCACACTTGCTGTAAATGTGAAAAAGTGAGTCTCATTCCCAAGCAACCTAGTGCTAAGTACTGGAAAACCCTCATACATACAAGAAAATATCATGACCAAGAATTCCTTTTGTTAGGGCAACAGATGTTGACATGTTATCTAACACTGCCTTGTAGCAAACAAGCAATAGTGTTCCAAAATAATCATGTATTCATTTCCAGCTCAGCAGCTAAATATTAATCACTTCAGTTTTCTAAGGCTTAAAGATCCCAGTAACAACTTCTCTCTTTGTCTTATAAGCTTCCTAAGAAAGACACAGAGACAGCCAAGTCTGCAAAAGATCAAGTACAATAAAATCCAACCCCAGAGTAAAGCAAAATGTATCTATCAGCTACATGAACATCATGACCAGGGAGCTGACACAGGGGCCCAGATATCTGTTTGTCTTGATTAAATGAAACTGAAATGAGACCCCCTGAAGCTCCATCTACAAAAGTTTATTAAATCATGGCAGACAATTAAGACAGGTCTGAAAATTACTAGAAGCGACAATAGTATGTTAACACTGGACTATATGGCACACTGTCTTCAGTATGGTGAGGAACCTCTCAGTCAGGCCATACACTGTTACCTCTTCTGGAAGCCATGGAGTGTCTGTCCCCTTATTTGTTCCCAGTTAGAAATATTACCAAAATCAAACTACGTAATGGTTTTGTGACAGGGGAGGGGAAGAGCCATGTGGAGTGAGCCACAGACCATACAGGAACGGTTCCTTATTTCTATCCATTTTAAAGAATTTACATTTCCCCCCCCCAAAAAAAACACTACCATCCCACCCCCAATCTTTTTCAATAAAAATACAGCAAGTAAGCAAGTAAAAAAAAAAAGCTGTGACACAATTAGTACAGAGAGTGCAACAAAAGGCTATACCCACCCAGGAACTTCCTGGGGCATCTGCAGGAAGGCAACCAGCAAGCTAGGAGTAGCATCTCATTGCCTGTTACTTATTTCTGGCACAAGAACCATCCTACACTCTTCACTGAATTTGCCGTTGGACCGATTTCAACCTCTCTTGGCTTCCCAAACCTTCCTACCTCCATTGTTCCCCTTTCCCTAACAAATCTCCCACCCCCACATACTAATTTATTTTCTGCACTCAGTCCTGTCATTTTCATCCTGTCCACTTTTGCCTGCATCATCACCAGCCTTTCCCCAGGGCCTTCTTTCACAGTCTTTTCTCCCTTACACTTCTATCATCTGCGACATCTTACCAGAAACTCCTTTTAATTCTGCATTCAGTTGCCTTCTCCCAGCAAACTAACTTAGATTCCCCAATGGCTTCTTCCTCTCTCAGCACACCACACCCATCCAACCCTACCGCAGACCTTCTGCACCTGTTTTCACAGGATTTTCCCGTTTTTGTCAATCCTCCATATCTGGGCCACATTCCTCTTCATTACATAAACTCTTTGCAGAAAAGATGCATTGTGACCTTATGGGAATTCTCCTTCCCCGCTCCTCTGCATGGACAACCTGGCAGAAATGTACCGTATACGCAGCAATAGTTCCTACTCTCAGGGACTGTAAGCGCTGTCAGTACAACTCAGACCTTTACATCAAGCCAGCCAGGCTATAGCACCATTTGACATAATTATCACCTGCAGTTCATATACTTTCAACTGATGCTTCATACCTAAAAAGTGTATTAACTCATGTAAGCAGGAATGTGTTGGGAACACATATGAATATTAACTTCACAAATACAAGTACACACAAAGGTACACATGTTCAGCACCAGTCAAATTTCTGAAGGGTAGGGGAATGTCATAATAGGGCTTCGTTCAATCCCCTTGCAACCAGCTCATCAGAAACCACTGCAGAAAAAGATATTTTAAAAAGAGAATGAAAACAAAAGTACCCACAAAACCCAGTCCCATTAGCTCTTCCATGTAAAACGCACAATGATTCCTGACAATGAAAGGCTGTAAGAGGGAAGATTATACCCCTAGGATTTCCAAGCCCTAGCAGACTTCCACTGCATGACCAAAATGTAGCACAGGACCACATAAAGAACCACAAGAGCAAGAAAAATGTTGTGGTCAGCCAAGTACCTGCGTGAAGGAATCAAATTCCCACTCTTCAGCAACATTAAACAAAAGGATGGGGCAAAGTCCAGGATTCTTTTCAGAAATACTAAACCAGAAAAAGCATGGAAAGATGATCTGTTCTGATGCGTGTATGTAAGCTATAAAGCCATAGCTTCAAACTTAAAACGCATATCACTGTAGGTTCTTGGCTGTACTTAAAAAGCAGTTGCTGAAACTTCTCCCATGGAAGGCAAATAAGTATTTTACCAAAAACAAACAAGGAAAAAGGCCTAAAGGAGCTTTCTGTGCAATGGGAGCCCAAACTTGGGGGAAAAGCAGCAAAGTAAACTACCACCTTATTGCTGTTTATCAATTCAGGAAGATTCTTAGCCTTGCCTTGTAATTTATCTCTAAATGTAGATTTTAATCTGCAAAATGAGAGGTAACATTCTGAGTAACTCTGCATGAAATCACTTTTATCAGGAGCCAGAGCTCACTGGGATCTATCAAAGCATATCTAAAATTTGCAGTCTACAGAAACTTCTCAATACAGACAGCTTATACAAACACTAGGAAAATCTGAAGGAATTTCATTCAGCTTATTTTTTAAGGGCTCATTAAGTGCCCCAAATCCATCACTCTGTGAAAACATGCATCCTGAATGATGTTATTGTATTTACTTACATATGAATGATATGGAAACCCCAACCCTGTGGGATTTCCTAGCTTTAAGATTATGGCATTTGTGGTTATGCTTCCGATCACCTCCCCTGGTCTTTGTGGGAGCGCAAGTAAAACAATGACATTTTCCACATAACATCATTATCTGGGATATTAGAAGACTACTGTAGGAACAGAGGTCTGTGGGAGTTACAAGTCAGGAAATCTTGATAACAGCAACCCCATAAACCTATACCAGAATATATCTGAGACTTTACGAATACCTGCATCCGAAACTCATCACAAACACGGAAGCAGTCCGCATTGTGTGTACACACAGCTAGTACAATGAGAAATTAAACCTTACATATTTCTGTGCATTGCTCTACATTTCAGCAGACCTCAGGCTTGCATGTTTTGTAAACAACTAGGATTAGGCACCTGATCAACAACATTTTAGCCACAAATGACAGCTCTAACATTGTAAATTGAATTTAAATTTCTAATGCTTCATGAAGAAACAAATGATCCATAATTTTAATGGCAGGCAACGAGAATCTAGCATTCAGTAATGATCACCCATCAGTGCTTCAGTGGAGAGGCCACCTCCCTGGAGCAAATGCACGTTGCTGGCTGACCACCTGGTCCTTAAAAGATCTTGGTGCTGAAGCAGGATCCAGAAAAAACAGCGACAAAGCCGATGCCCTCCTCCTTAGGAAAGGCATGGTTGAGAATTTAGACAACACCCAACCGCAGACAAAGGCTGGGCGGGAGGAGGGGTCTCCAGCATGTCCAGACTCAGCAGGTTTAGCGGGAGAGGTCTAGTGAAGCTGAGAGGAGACCGCAGGGCCTCGGCGCTTGGGCCATGCCGGGGAGAGATGGGGAGCGGCTAGTGGGAAGCTGCGGCCCCGGGGGAGAGGGGAGGGGAGGGGGACAGCGCAGACCGGGCACGGCCACACCACACAAAAGCGCTGCAAGGCGGCGACACCGGGCGGGAGGAGCGGGGAAAGGCGACGGGAGAGCTGAAGGGCAGAGCCGGAATCCACCGCGGGAGGAGAGTGGGACCCGCGCCCGGGGG